GGAAAAAAAGTCGTCACAAAATGGGCTAATTTGAGATTTCTATTAATGGTCTACAATAATCATACGTTTTCTGATGATTAAACAACCGTTCAGGCTTTGAACCTATGCAATCTTATAAAAATAAAAAAATTTGTCAGCAGAAGTATTTTTTTTTTAGCTGTAATTGAAAACAAGCAAGAAACTTTAAAAAAAGGTGACCAAAAGTGGTTTACTAGAATCTAGCAATCTTGTTTTAACAGCTCCAGAATCATTAAACATTCTAAAGCTTCCTTCTTGGCTGACTTTACAGATTAAGAAAATTATTAGCCTGAAAGCTAAAAAAATCAACTGAGCAGCCGATAAACAGCTACAACTAAAAAATGGTAATTTTATGCAATTTTTCTGACACACTCACCACTACTGACTTTAGCCTCTGTCTATCCCGTTTTGATTTATGACGCTTTTCACTGCTTCAGTCTTGTGCTGCTAACTACAGTTGAATATCCTTTCGCAATCCATTTTATGGAAATTTTGATAGATGTGTTTGAGTTTAATCTGAAACCCGTCAACAATGACCACCGACTTCAACAAAGAGCAAATAGTAAACAGTGCTCAGTCATAGTACCTCATTTATTACAAGGCTTTTGCAGAATTGAGCCGATCTCTTTGACTTCTTCTTGACCAAAAAAATCTTAGTTTTCTAGTGCTAACTGGCTCAAGGACTAATTTGTGGCATTAGAAATCGTCGTTTACTTGTAATTTATGACTGACGTCTCTGCAAATTGTTATTCCAAAATGATCACTTTTTCTAGATGAGGACAAGAAACTTAAAGATATCACAAGCAGCAACAAAATCTCGGAAAAGGATAAAATAGTGAAGAAACAGCGTAAAGTGAGCTTTAAAAATGATAACCACTAGAAGTTAAATAAACAGCAAATACACAGGCATTAGACATATGACCTTAGTAACGTTCAGTTCTACAACAGATTTTAATGCTGTATATTGTCAGATAATCTAATAATCGGTTTTTTTGCTAACAACAAATTTACGTAATACAAGAGATCTATTCTAACGGTAATCATTTACCGTTAATAGCAGATTTTAGATCTTATATTAAGCCAACAAATAGACCAGTAATTATTTCATAAACCTAAATGACTAATGCAGATACGAAAGTAAAATTTTAGTCTGAATTTGTGTACGTTTTGTTGCCAAAAAAAGGAAAATTTTCAAGAAAAAACTGTCGAAGCAAATGAACGTGGATTTGTTAGGAAGTCATTATATGAAACATATAATTGACTGTTCTTTTTCCTTTTAAAACGTCTGTTGAACAAATGTTTCAACGTTAACTGCTTCATCAGCGTTTACTGATACTACCTCACGCTCATTCCTCACGGTTCTTGCGAAAGGTTCTAGACTCTGGCACATCGTTACAACAACCAGCTCCTTTAAGAATTTTGGTCATATCGCTTTCTACACCTCGCCAGTACTCACAGAATAGATCTTATCATTCATTTTAAAAAGTTATTTTCTTGCAAAAACTTTTAGCTTTTTTGAATTACAATAAAAAAAAGTTTTTCCTCTGGAAAAATTATTTTCGGTAATACAGTTTGTATGCAGAATGATTCTGGCTCACTAAACCACTTTTGCTCTCATATATCATCTTAAAAAACAATTTTGGCTCACAAGATTTGGGGAGATGTAAACTGCCCTAAAAGAAAGTTTTTTTGACTTTAGAATTGGGGTCGCTTCAGAAAAAATGAATAAAAAAATAAGATTTAAGTAAATATTTCAAAAAAAAAAAAAAAAAAAAAA